ACCAAATAGCTTTTTGGTTACTCTTGGCCTAGTTGCTGCTGATGTCCTGGACATTTTGAAGGATCCGTTTACTTAAAATACTTGGTCCTACTCTGGAACCTCCAGAGTGTTTCCGATCCGAGACTTAATTGATTCGTCGGTGACATTTCACAACTTAATTGCTGCACTAAAGAGTAAATAGTATATGCCGTTTTCCGCCTAGTCTTGCAAGCACCTGCTTACGACGGTTTGAGGAGAGGACTTGATTTTGCTAACTTACATTCCAAAGTAGCCTTCTCAATCCTAAGCAGATTGCGGTTCAGACATCATTTCAGCAGTGTTATCATCCTTACTGGAATTCTGACCCAGGGATTTCAGGTTAACTTTGCTACCACATTACAACTCACACAAGACCAAGGTGCCTTTGGAAGGTGAAGGCATTTATGATTTTCAGGGAAAATCAACTCAAGCCTGTAGTAGAGACGTTCATATCTGTGGGCATTATTGTATTGATATCATTACATTTAACACTGCCGAATTGACGTTGGTAATTGCTTTTATTTTATTCCCAAAAAAAATTAGCTTCATACAGGTTGTTTGACCTTGTTTTCGCAAATTGGTCATGTTAGTAGGAAGACTTATAGGAACGCACCTAGTCCAAATTCCATTGTATGCATGATCATTTCCAGAGTCGGACTATCGTCGTGGTACATTCTCAGACGTTTCGCCTGCATCGTCAGTGAGCCACACCATCTTGGTCTTCTCACTTTCGATTAAAATAAGCTTGCGTCTAAAGTTCAATGCGTTTTTAGGTGCATGGTATGAATTTTCGCCATGGCTTATTTGAATCTTAAGAGTAAAAATTTCACATACAAGCCAAATATCACTCGACAAGCCAAGCGGTACTAAGGCCTGAGTGAAGCCTACGACCTTTCGTTTGGTCTTCTTATTCTTATTCCTTGCTTGTGGCACCATTGCTTTTGATAATAATCGGCCGGATTGACTACTCACTTGCCAACTACTCTGACATTTTTCAATGCTGGGTTTTCTTTACTGGCGTCTGCATTCTGTCAGGCGCCACTTAAAATCCCGAGGTTGTCCTACCAGCCCTGTTGTTTCTGACGGATGTTGAGGCGCCGAGGTCTGATAATGATCTTAGTCGAGAAGAGTTGTCAGTTTCGATACAGTTTTTGACAACTTGTTGAACACTTTCGGAGCTCATTCTTCTACAATTAACCGGAAAGCGGGGTCATGCTTTGCTTGCACTTTCCCTCTGGCTTCACTTCCCTCAAAGGGGTATAGAATTCATATTTGCCCTTAGTACTTGCACAAACTACCTTTGCTCCCTTTTTTTATTCTGTACTCCCCGCCTCAAGCACACCGATCAGATCTTGATTCACCTCACCAATGATCATTTATTCTTTTCACCACTTCTATCTCGCCCTTCCCTACCAACCCTTGATTCTCACCATTATGACCCAAATTGTCCTTTTCGACACAACTTCCCGCTTCATTCCCTATTGCTCCGCTTCCTATCCCTACTTTGCATGAGTCGCTATCATCCAGCAATGTTGAATTCTATTTGCTTTATATTTTGCATATTTTTTTGGCTCTTTCTCGCATGCCGAATAGCATACGCCGTCTTCTTTAACCCGCCCGTTTGTGTGAAAAACCGATTTTTGAGATGCCTTCGAGAGCACAATCACACATACACACACAATACACATCCTTGTCATTACTGCTACCGTCGCTGCTCTAATATGGTTAGATCTTTGCGCGAATCCTCTAAAATCGCATGGCATAACCCCATTTTTTGTGCTTGGTTCTTCTCGCTCTGGACTGGCCCGGTCCCTGTCCCTGCTCCTGCTCCATGTTTTCTTTGTTTCCTCCTTCTAGATGGCCCTCGGTCACGGAAGAAGATGACCCACAGGAGTCCCTTCGACTATTTGACTCTTGTTTGGGGTAATTCTGCATGCTTTCTTAACCCCTCCCGTCGCCATGGCTCTGTTTTTTTTCCAGTTCAGAAGAGGGCGCAAAGAGAGCGGATTTTTATCCCCATTTTTATGCTCTAACTTTCTATCTAACCATTGTGCCGTCAGCCTACCCAATCGGCCTGCCTCTTGACTGATCCCATTCTGCATGTGTTCGCATAGTGGAGTTCTCCGAGCCTTCATGTTTTAATCTCGAATCAACGAGACTTTGTCTATCCTGAACTAGATGCTGCATATGCTAATAACTAAACTTTTAGTGTTATGGGTGGCCGTTCATAGGAATTTTCCCATTTTTCGTATATAAGTAGCGTTTCGAGACTATCAGTAAATCAGTAATATGAGATGTATTCACACTATTTCGTCTAAGGTGATGAAGGACTGGTAGAAAAATGTTTCCAAAATGATATGAGTAGAGCTGACGTTTCCATTCAATTTCACATCGTCTTGCTTTCCCATGGCGGACTGCAGTTTCGATCTCGAATCGGTCTTATCAACACCCTCAGCGGGAGTCGAACCGTGACAGTCCAGAATGGGAGCTATAATAATTGATTACGTTACATATTTTTCGTATACAAGTAGAATTTCGAGAGTACCAGTAAATAAGTCATATGAGATGTATAGCAAAAATGCGTTTGCTTCATCGACAATCCCACAAAAGAATGTGATATGGGAAAGGGCCTGGCCTTCCTTGAAATTTACATCTTTCCTGTGACCCAAGGGCACTCGTGGCAATGTGGCCGAATGGTTAACATGTCAAGCTCACATGCTGCACTGTTACGGTTTGACTCCCGCTGGGGATGTTGATGAGACCAATGCGAGGTCGAGACTGCAGTCCACTGGTGCCTGGATGAGAACAACTTTTGGGAAA